TCAAATAAAATAAATAAAATCTTTAAAAAAAAAAAAAAGAAAGACACAAAGAACATGAGTTGGGGGGGCAGCCTTTAGGAATGGAGTGTGCAGTCCTCCTGGAGTGGTCCAACATTCCTTCTAGGCAGTGTCCTTTTAAGAAGTGGCGTAATCTGTGTCCTCTCTCCTGCTTCCCTTACCTTAGGGGTTCTCAGCCTCAGCACTGTTGACATTTTAGGCTGGGTAGTTCTTTGTTGTTCTGGGCTCCCCCCTGCACTCTAGGATATTCAGCAGCATCGCTACCCTCTACCCACAAAATGCCAATAGCAGCTCCCTGAGTCGTGACAACCAACTATGACTCCAGACATCATCTAATGTCCCCTGGGGTGGGAGTGGAGGGCAAAATCACTCCCATTTGAGAACCGCTACCTTACATCAAATTTAATGCCCAGGTCTAGTGTTGCCCCTCTGTGACTTCTCTTGGTTCCGTGCCTTTCAGCCCATTTCTACCACCCCGGTACAGACCTTCATCACTGGAGTTACTGCATGGTTTCCTAAGTATATTTTGTGTCTCTTTACTGTCTCACTGTCGGAAGATTAATCATCAGAAAACTCAACTATCACATATCACTCTGCTCATGTGCAGTGGGTTCCTGTTCTCAACCCCATAATCCCAGACTTCTTATACGGGTACCCAAAGCCCTCCAACCCCCAGCCCCAAGCTGTCTCTGACCTCATATCTCTGCTTTTTTATATTCTCTTACCGAAACAAATTGGATGCCCCCAAATGCTCCTGACCCCACATTTTCTCATCCAGTTGCTCTTTGCTTCTGTTGTGGGCTGTATGTGCAAGGCCCACGTTTCCAATTGAGTTGGAACCTTGAAGTTCCAACTCAAATGCCACGTTATCAACAAAGACTTCTTCCTCTGCTTCTCTCCCTCTTTCCTCCAAATCACCTTACACTGGTATTTATTTGTGTCTTACTTTCTAGTCCCTTGTCTACAAGTAAGAGGTATGTCTTTCTTCTTTGTGTTCCTCCCATCTCCAAACATCTTGTCTTAGACAAAATAAGCAGTATTTGAATGCCTGTTTTCCCTGAAGCAGCGTGGTCATAAGCTGAGAAACTTAGTTGCCACATTGAATCTGTAATCTAAAACACATTGATACTGTTAAAGATACTCAAATTCCTGAGGCTATAAATATTGATATTGTATAACATTGAAGATTTTTAACATTTGTTGTTTTTTTTTCCTCTCTAGCCTGCCTATCAGAACCTGAGGCAACGGGTTGACAACTTTGTTGCGAACCACTTGGCAACTCATACATGGAGTCCCCACCTCAATAAGAACCAGCTAAGAAACAACATTAGGCAGCAAGTGCTCAAGTAAGTCTCAGAAGCACAGGGCCCCTAGGCCAGCTTGACGATGTCCGTCTACTCAGTGATAGGCAGGGACGTTACATGGAAGTCTGATGTTGTTTTATCTAGTTTGGTTGGCCGCTTCATACGTGATGCAGTGTAATTTTAGAGTGGACTCTAATCACTTCACCTTTCCCCATAAGTTTTAGCAGTCTGATTTCTCCTGTAGACCTGGGGAACTACCTGAAGGGAGAGAATGACAAGGTGACTTAAAAACAAAACAAAACAAAACAAAACAAAAAAACCCCTAGGGTAGAATATTAATAGATGGTAAGTGCCAGAATATCCTATACCGTTCATTCACAACTATTTTCTTGACCCTGAAAGATCAGGCTTTTTTATTCCTCTTTGACAAATAAAAAGACATTCTAGATCATTGCAATTAAAATAATTGCCTCTGATTTGAGGCTGTGTCTTGTATCTTCTAATGCAGTCTAATACTTTTTGCACTTTACTGTGACTTTTAACTGCTTTTTAGTGATGATATGGCTAAAAAAAGTGTATTTGGACCTGACAGAGCCACTTTTGGGTGAACATAAGATAAAGAGAATGAGAAGAGCAGGAATGTTTAGAGGGACCAAAAAAAAAAAAAAAAAAGTGTTCCCAAAACAGATTTACAATACTGTCTTGTTCTTGAATATAAATATTTGCCAAGACAAGAAGACCTGGACCCTATATCTCTGCTTCACCATTCCCACTGAAGGGGCAACTAAGTTATTTAAAGAGTGCCTAATCTTCCTCTCTTGACAAATATTTACATTCAAGCTCATCTTTTAGAATGAAATGTGACTTTTAAACCATTAAACAAATCCATCTTCTACCTGCCACCTTTTCATACCCTCTTGTCCTGTAGGAACCTCGCAAGCCTAATAGTGTGCATACTCCATTGATAGTTCTACATGCGGGAAGCCCCACAGACAGAACTTCCCACTCTGACTCAAAGACATTTAGCCCCAGGTAATACTAGAAACCAGGAGCCTGCGGGCTCGGACTCAGACTCTCTTACGCAGAATAGAGGAGGGAAATTTAACAATCGCTTTGTTGTCTACATTTTAGAGGATATTTGAGGAACCTGTAAAAGAGCTCAGGAGAGATCAAAAGATGCGGATTGGGGGTGGGGGAAGCCTACTGACAATGTCAAGAGCACACCACCTACTTCTGCTTCTACAGAGTACTCCTCATTACCGAGCAACCTAGAAAGATGGAAGCAGTTGGCAGTTATTCTTTTCTTGCCCCTGTAAAATCAAGCACTTCCAATTCTTAGGGACCAATATAAGACATTCTCACAGAATCTTGTTTGGTGATGGGTTGCTGTACCCCATCAGTAAGGGGTTCTCGTGATTACTAGCAGTTATGGGGGATGGGGACTGGCTTCTAGAGACATTTTAGAACAGGGGAAACTTGTTCTAAAGTTGGATAACTTAGTCATTGCTCTTCTTGGGACATTTGTAAATTTTCTTGTAGCTACGTTATTTTTAAATAAAATATTCTCTTATTTAAATTCCATTAGTAAAGTTATATGTTACTGATTATAACGTTTTCAGGCTTTCTTAAAGAAAGAGTTGTGTCTAACTACTGTTGTAGGGAGGGACTTGCCCCTATAAATACAATTTCAAACAGTTTTTCATACAGACATTGAGAAATATTCATTTGACCACTAGCTTGAACCATCTACAATTGCCATTTTTATAGAACAAAAACTGGCTAATATCAGCAGTTTCGAATTGTTGAGCTTAATCATTGATATTCTGACTCAGTAGTATTCTTTTTATGCAATCATTTGAACAACAGAATCTAAAATGCTAGATAGCTCTAAATAATGATCTTAACTGAACAATTTAAAAGGAAGGTGAGGAAGTAGCTTTAATCAGGAAAATACCACCTGCTGGCATTTTGGCCTTGCCTTTGGATGGATACAGGGCTGTGGCTTCTCCCTCTGGTGAGGCAGCTGTGACCACACCACACTCAAGTAAGCCCACAAGGATCAGTGTGGTCATAGGACCGTCCTCCACTTTCAGATCAGAGCTGACCTCGGTGGGAGACTAGACTGAAGTAGATGAGGACCCGGAATATAGGCAGAGGAAGAGGCTGCAGCAGTAATTTTAGGGTGGGTGGGTTTTATTTTTTATCTAATGCCTTTGCATTGTGCCTTAAAACATTTTTAAGATTGCTTGTCCTTTTCTTTTCCACCTGCTACATTTTGAAGGCACCTCTAAGATGTAACAATGTTTGCAGGATTTGCGGGGTTTTTTGTTTTTTTTTTTATCTTAGAACTTTAAAAAGCAGGTTACCTACTTTGTGTGGTGTTGACTCATTTTTCTCTATGGCCCACATAAGAAGAATTATAGTATCACAAGGCTGCAAGGTGCCTCAGGAAATGGAAATCAAATCTATCCTCTACTCCAGACTGAGCTGCATTCAAAAATAGCATTGTAATGTAAAAGGAGAAACACCTCCCCCATTCTGCAGAGAGAGCCTGAGGCCTAGAAGCTGGAAGGAACCAGCACCGGGCTCTTGGAGCACTGTCCAGGGAACTTTGGCTCCTCAGGTGGTCTATTGTGTTTTGTTTTAGGAAGAAACAAGTTTTAGGTACATTTCTTAAATAAATCCTTGTCCTCTTATTTTACTCACACTTTTGTGATTTTCTGCACATTTCAGACTTTTTGCCCCCTTTGCTCCTCTGTCTCTTGTGTATATTTCTCTAAGCTCTTTCTTCCTCTTTGCTTCTGTGGAAATCAAGGCTCAGTGCAAATGTCTTCTCTTTGTGAAGCATCCCCAGATTATCTTAAACATATCTAATCACTCTTCATTCCGCTCTTTCCCTACAGTAGATGGTGTGTTGTAGTACCTATCATCTGGTATTTTAATTGTCTGTGTCTGTTTCTCCTGCCGACCAGGAGAATCAGACCAGGTCTGATTTGTAGTGGACCAGTGACCAGCATGGTGCCTGTTATGGAGAAGACACTCAGTAACATAATTGTTGAATAAATAAATCGCCAGTTTTTATAGCAGGAAGATAATAGAAAGCCAGAAGTCTTGTTTTTGTTTTTCTAAAGTTTTCTTTCTTTTTCCTTCTTTTTTTGTAAGTTTAATAAAATTACACTCTGTATGTGTTCTTCAGTTTTCCTGGAGATCCTAATACTTATAAAAGGCTTACATTTTTCTGTTTAAAAAAAAAAAAGTTGTAGAGTCCGTAGGTTTATTTTATACCCAGGACTCAGCTTTAGTGAACATTTCTTCCCATATGCCCTGCCAGGGTTGGAGCAAGGAAGGCATCACCTGTAAGTGTGGGCTCTGGATAGTGTATTGTGTCCAGTTTTAAGGGTGTTTTGGTTTTTGTTTTGTCTGCTTTAGTATTTCCACTAGTGATACCAGTGATACAAAGTATACTGACTTTGTCGTAGGGTAGTGTATTTCCCACCGCCTGTTCTTTCCATATACTGAGATGTGGATTGGAGCAAATTAAGGTTGAACATATACGTAGTAGATACAGTTTTACCTAAAAGTAATTAATGCAAGTCATACGAAATTGTTTTTTACCTTTCTGTAAAAATTATCTTGTGTTTCAGATCAGGAATGTTGGAGTCTGGTATTGACCGAATTATTTCTCAGGTTGTGGATCCAAAGATCAACCACACATTCAGACCTCAAGTGGAGAAAGCTGTGCATGAGTTTTTGGCCACACTAAATCACAAAGAGGAAGCAAGTAGCAGCACAGCCCCCGAGGACGAGAAACCAGACTCTTCCCTCATTACACAAGGTGCCTTGCTTTTCCTCTTGGTCAGTCCCATTGCTTTGCTTCTTGAACCGAGTATCAAGTTAGGGATGTGTAGTTCCTTAAAATATCTCCCTCCATGGCTACTCTAGTGAAATTATATTTATTTTAAATATCACCTATTTTTCTCAACTGATAGAGCATTTCTTTTTTAGATTAATGCAAAGTAATAGACATTTTACTAATGTATTAAGCGTGTGTGTGTGTTTCAATAGAGAGAATAATTAACTAAAGAGAATTAGACTATTCTCAGATTTGCATGGTGGCTTTCCTATGATTCAGTATTAGAACAGTAGAGAATTTAGAATGTGCTAGGTATTAGTACTGGTATCCAAAAGTCTAAAGGAATATGAATGGTCTGTACAGCATATGTGTCTTGTAAAGATGACAGGGGCTTAATTCAGCAGAGGGGCTTACCTTCTGCATACATTTTTTCTTTCTTTTTCTTTTTTTTTCCTTAAGATTTATTTATTTTAGAGAGAGAGCACATGTACATGCACAAGCACAGGGAGGGGCAGAGGGAGAGGGAGAGAATCCTTAAGCAGACTTCCCGCCGAGTGCAGAGCCCCACATGGGGCTCAATCCCAGGACCCTGAGATCATGACCTGAGCCAAAATCAAGAGTCAGCCACTCAACCGACTGAGCCACCAAGGCGCCCCTGCATAAATTTTTTCTAACACTTATCTTTCCCTCGAAGGTGTCCCAGCTCCTGGACCCGGCGCTAATGTAGCCAATGATGCCATGTCAATCTTGGAAACCATAACTTCTCTTAACCAAGAAGCCAGTGCGGCCAGGGCTTCGACAGAAACGTCAAATGCCAAGACCAGTGAGAGAGCGTCCAAAAAACTCCCTTCTCAGCCAAGCATTGACACTAGTACTGAAAAAGAGAAAACTTCAGAGGACATAGCCGATAAAGAAAAATCTACACCTGACTCTGCAGGGGAAGGACAGGAGACAGCCCCTAAGTCTGAAGAATTTACTGATCTCCCTTGTCCAGTTGAAGAAATTAAAAGCCACACAAAAGAGAGCAATAGTTCAATTCTGCTAAATAAAGATGTTCAACAGGAAAGCAGTGACCAAAAAAACAAATCAACAGACAAAGGTGAAAAGAAGCCAGAGAGCAATGACAAAGGAGAAAGGAAGAAAGAAAAGAAGGAAAAGACCGAAAAGAAATTTGATCACTCAAAAAGGAGTGAGGACCTACAAAAAGTGAAAGAGGAAAAGCAAGCAAAGGAAAAAGAAGTAGAATGTTCAAAACTCCCTTCAGAAAAGAACAGTAATAAAGCTAAAAGCATTGAAGGGACAAAAGAAGGTATATAAAAACTCGCAAAAATCTTCAACTGTTTACACATTAAAGTGTCGGGGAGGGGGGGTGAAATTTGCCTTCAAATTTTAATAGCTTTATTTGATACTTGTGTTTCAAAAGCCTGAAAACTCATATCCCCTTTGCTAAAAAATGAAGAATAAACATTTGTATAGATTTCTATGCCGATGTACCAACTCACAAAGTAAATGAAGACAGAAGCTCTAAACCTTATAATTTAACTTGTAATTTATGCACATACATTATTCCAAGCAACTTAATTCATAGTTGTATATCCTAATCTTTAAAATATTCGTAAATATTATACTTTCTTAACATTTGCTTTTGTGTATGTCATTTACATCATATATTAGTAGTTATTTTTACAGAATACTAGTTTGCCTTTGTATTTTCTTGAAACAGCTCTACCTTGATGCTGGTTACAAATGAGAGATTTCTATTTCTTTTTTTTCTTTTTTTTTTTTGAGAGATTTTTATTTCTACAGTTGAAGATCTTTGACATGTACTTAATGCAGAAAATTATAAATGTAATTTAGGAATTGGGTGCTGAATATGTTCTTGTAACAACATGATTGATCTTCGTGTTTTATTTCCTTCTTGAAGATTGCTCTTTGATAGATTCTGATGTGGATGGACTTACAGACATCACAGTTAGCTCTGTCCATACCAGTGACCTTTCCTCTTTTGAAGAAGACACCGAGGAGGAAGTTGTAATGTCTGATAGCATGGAAGAAGGAGAGATTACATCAGATGGTAAAGCATTTTACTTAATAATGCCTCTGTGAAGCTTCCTTCGAGCATTGTTTGTATATTCAGATGGCTATATCGTGAAAGACAGTCTGGTCTAGTGGCAAAAGAGCGTGGGACTTTGTAGTTGGAAGATTTGTTTCTGGGTCCTAGCTCCGAGGTTATCTGTCTGAGCAAGCTTGGTAAGTTACTCAACAAGCCTTGGTTCTCCATCTCTTAACTCCATTCTTCAGGCTTATTACAAGAAATGGATGAGACCGTGTATATGAAGGTGCTGTATGTGTGGGTGTGTGTCTGGGTTTGTATGGCTGATGTTGAGGGAGACGGTCCACAGGACTGCCCTTACTTCTGATACCATTTGCGAATTTGGGGTCCCCAAGCCCACCCTTAGTTTTGATAATTCTCTAGAAGGACTCACAGAACTCACTGAAAGCTTTAAAATTTGTGGTTATGGTTTATTACAGCTGAGGGACACACATTAAAATCAGCCAAGTGAACAGGCACATCGGCCAGAGTCCAAGAAAGTTCCAAACATGGAGCTTCCAGTTGGCCTTTTCCTGTGGAGTCACGGAGAGCATTATTTTCCTGCCCCTGATGTCAGGCAATACATATGGCTAATTGCAAACCAGGGAAGCTCACATAAGCCTTGATATCCAAAGTTTTTGTTGGGGCTCCATCATGGAGACATAGTGTCTAATCTCAGTCCCCAGCCCCTCCGAAGGTCAGGCTACCCCATGGCCCAGATCTTCCAACCTAGATCATACTGTGAGATGATTTAGCTTGACCCAAGACCCCCAGGCAAACAGAAACACCTGTCAGACACGACATCCCAGAGACTTAGAGATTACCTCCCAGGAGCTAGACCACAGTCTTGCCTTGTCCCGGGGCAAGACCATACTTCTCTTTACACGTACTGTATTCCAGGCATTGTGTTATCACACTGCTCTGTGTACTAGCTACTGTAATCCTCACAACAGTCCTGGGAAGTAGGTCCAAGTGAGGAAACAAAGTCACCAAGAGGAGGGCTCCTGTTCAGGGTCACGCAGCTGTTGAGCTCCAGTGCCTATTTCAAACCTGAGTCTGGGCTTCTAACCAACATTTTGTGCTGCTCTGTATCACATGATTAAGTTCTGCTTATGACCTTTTTTTAAAAATCAAATATTTGCAACTACTTGTAAATAGCATCTTGTAAATTTGCTGTTGGCTTTTGGATAGAACACCTAGAGGAGAATAAGTAGATGCTTTTAATTCCACGGAAATATTTTTCAGTCTCCCATTTTGCATTCTTAGTAGCCCCAGGATGACCATTTCAAAAAGCAACATAGGTACTCATCTGCTTTTCATACCTCCTCATGAGGTCAGTTCTGTAGGCTCTATGTAGGATGATGAATGCCACTCATCCTGTGAGCACCCCACTTTCTGAAGCTGACGAAAATTCTCATTCTAGGTGCTTTTATGGGGCTTTCCAAGTATTTTCCTGGACAGGACTGGGTTTTCTATGTATGCGATCCAAAAAGTAATAAGGTGATTATTTTGAGAGTACTAAGTGGTAGGAAGTGAAAACCTTGTTTACAAGTTTCCTACTTAGCTGTGTCATGGGGCAACATACCCACCTTCCTAGGATAGAGATGTTTTGTTAATTTTTTTTAAGATTTTATTTATTGATTTGAGAGAGAGAGCATGAGCAGGGGGAGGGGCAAAGGGAGAGGGAGAAGCAGACTCCACGCTGAGCAGGGAGCCTGACTCGGGGGCTTAATTAATCCCAGGACCCTGAGATCATGACCTGAGCTGAAGTCAGATGCTTAACCGACTGAGCCACCCAGGTGCCCCAAGGTAGAGGGGTTTTAGTATATACTTGGTGTAGGGCCAGTTATCGACTCTTGACTTATTATCATTAAAATCTCAAATTAAAAAAAAAATCTCAAGCCCACTTTAAAGTGTGGCTTCAAGTAAATTTATTCACTTTTACAGTTTTACAGTGGTAGAACATTCATACCACGTCCACTGACATACAAATGAGAATTAACAATATTTGTCAAGGAATCGTAAATGGCGATAAGATCTGATTTTTCTTCGCTTTCTTTATGTGTGAGGAGCTAATTGTAAGAAATAAATTAAGATATGGATTACAGCCTTTAAAAATGTTTGTTTCTGATTTTTTACATACTGATATTTCCCATTGGACCTACAAATACACTTGAACTACATGGGTGCTGTTTTTGCCACTTGATGTTGATAAAGCATGGTGTTGATTTTATTGGTCATTTACCGAAGCACTCCTTTTTCTATTGGCTTTCTTCCAGATGAGGAGAAGAACAAGCAGAACAAAACAAAAACTCAAACCAGTGATCCCAGTGAAGGAAAAGCAAAAAGTGTACGGCACTCTTATGTTCACAAACCATATCTTTACTCAAAGTATTACAGTGATTCTGATGATGAGCTTACTGTAGAACAACGGCGCCAGTCAATTGTAAGTCAGACTCGATCTGTTGCTCTTTTAACCTATTCAGCTGGGTTGACAAACTTGGCTAGTCTGTGTGCAAGGTACTGGGAAGCACAGTAAACTGACATGTTGGTATTGCCTTCAGGAACCTGTCATTTAATGAGGCAGAACAGACATAAACATGGGACATAGGTGTTCGTGTCATTATGATCAATAGTGAGAACTTGGTAACGAATGCTTCACAGTATGGACATGTTTGAATCCAGTGTGGATTGAGTCATACAAAGAGGATATGCAGCCATCAACATAATATGAAGAGGGGGGTGCAGTCTACATATTTTCTAGTTACAAGATGGGTCCTTGGATTATTAACAGCTTCTTAGAGAAAAAAATTGCCACCTCATATGTGTACATGTTTTAAGATGACTTAACAGTTTTAGAAACATTAAAATATGGAGAGCACATTTTAGAATGAGGAAATGTTATTGCACAGAAAATTATTTGAAGGAAATAGAAATGCTGATAGATAGTGGCTTATCTCTTGAGAAACTTGCCTCATCAGGAGTTACGCCTATACTTAGGATTTTTGGCACGTTGAGACTGAGTTCTGAGCGGGAAAGGGGTGGTGGGAGTAACCCACAATGACTGGATTCTTGTTTTTTTTTAAATAGGAAAGCAAAAGTCCCACATTCAAAACCTGGGTCCTGAGAGCATAACCACCAAGTTGTATTTGTTGTAGGACTAGCTGTCTCTTAAATCTGCACAACTTTCTCCTTTAAGAATAATTTAAAAATTATGGAGCTTTGCCTATGTATACTTGATGTTCATACATATTTTCACAGCTGCCTTTGTTTTTTTGAGAGAGAGAAAGAGAGCAGTGGGGCAGAGGGAGACAGAGAGAGAGAATCTTAAGCAGGCTCCATGCCCAGCACAGAGCCCCACATGGGGCTCAGTCTCACAACCCTGAGATCATGACCTGAGCTAAAATCAGGAGTCAGATGCTTAACTGACTGAGCCACCCGGGTGCACCCCACAGCTCTCCTTATAATTAAACTAACTGGTTTATTAAACCACCATTTCTCAAAATGATACCTTTCCCATTCTTTAAACTAATGACAGTCTGAAAGAGTAATAGAAAATTTGCACATCTGTCTCTTATTCTTCTGGTAGCTTTGAAATTGTGTAATGAATATGCACCTTTGCAAAGCCCATTATTTTGTAAGAACATTTGAAGGGCAAACTTTTTTTTTTGGTGTTTTTGCTTTTTCCTGATAGTCGGTCAGGATAATTGTGAATAATTTGTGGTTTTAGGCTAAAGAAAAAGAAGAGAGGCTTTTAAGAAGGCAAATTAATAGAGAGAAACTTGAAGAAAAACGAAAGCAGAAAGCTGAAAAGACAAAGTCTTCGAAAGCTAAGATTCAAGGTATAGGAGGTGTTAACTTTAATATTTTAAATATCTTATATACTTCATTATTTTCTAGATATTTGTATATTACTTATGAGATGATTATAAAATATAATGATCTAAATTGCATCTCAAAAAACTGCTGTATTAAAAAAATAATCTGTTTTCAGGTATGGGAGATTTCCTTTTTAATCTGATGTGTTGAATCACTTTTTTAATTATATTTCTGTGTCTAAACATTCTGTCAGGTGCCAGCTTATACAAGTCACATTTTAGCAATTTATTTTCCAGTGGTTGTGGAATGAATTATCACTGGAAAATGAATTGTTAACCCGTGAGTAATCAAGCCTTGCTGGTGATATTAGTAGAATTAATCAATGCTTTAGGTTAACTAAAGTGTCAGACATTTATCTGGAATATTTCACTGAACAAAACTGAACTTAGTCTGGGCACTGATCCTGTGTAATATACAAAAATACATATGTATATGTGCATTTGAAATAAGAAAGGTAAGACTCTTCCATCTAAAATATTATTTTTATTCCAGCACAACTTAAGGGTGTTAAAGTCATCTAGCATTTTTACAGTGATTAGAAAATCTTAATGAGAAAGAAGTACTAACACTGTTTATAAACTCTGTTCTGAAATACAGTTTATTGATTGTTTCTTTCCTAGGCAAAAATAGTGTAGATTTAGAAGAATCATCAACAAAGATTGTGGAACCTAAAACCCCCAGAATTAAAGAAGTCCTTAAAGAACGGAAAGTTTTAGAGAAAAAAGTAGCCTTAAGCAAAAAAAGAAAGAAAGATTCAAGGTATGTATTTTATCTGGCAGCTTTCCCATTGTAACATTCCCCTGGCATGCTTTCAGAAGAGAGGCATTGACAGGGACAGTAAAGAGCCATACTTTGAACGTTTGTGTCATTATTGCATGTTTATGAAAACTGTCGGATTTCACTTCCCGTAGCATAATTCATTGTGTTGATATCTGTATTTCAAAGTAGTGTATCGTAATCATTTTTGGAGGGTGGATCCCCAGAAAAACGCACATGTTTTTTTTTTAAATTCACAGTTGTTTCTAGAATTTCAGAGTTCGTGGACCCTCCCTCTAGAATACTCAGGAAGTATCTCCACTGTGGACATTCAATAACGTCTACAGTGACTGCATCCATTTTCCAGGCTTGCTAGGCATTCTCTTCAACAATATCTCATGTATCTCCCCATAAACCAGAGGGCTGAACCAAATTCTTACTTATCATTGCATTATATTTAATTCTATAGAATTAGAAAGCTGAAGTGGCTCTGAAGTCCTTGGAGCCAAAAGCTATGATCAGGATGCAATTATGGACATTTGTCATAGACTTCAAGGTAGCAGAATCAATAATTTGCAGAACTCAGTGAGAGGAGTCTGCTCTCAGTTTTCTTACTGTACCTAATTCCTATTGATCTGAATAAATCCTACTACCCTATTTACTCAAAAGATGGTAAGACTTTCAAAATCTAATTATAACCCATAAAATATTCATCTTCAAGCAACAAATTAGGAATTTTTTTTCAAGTATACTTTCCTTTAGCGCCAAGAGTAAGTTATCTGTGTCACACTGGCGATTATGTTTGCTTCTGTTGACTATGATAGGAGTTAAATTGAAATGTAACAAGCCTTCATTTATGGATCAAGTGTTTATAATAAAGGAAAACTAAGCTTTTTTTTTTTTTAACCTTCCTGAGAAATATTTGATTCAAATAAAGTTCATGTATGACTCTTTCCTCCCACTTAGGAATGTTGAAGAGAATTCTAAAAAGAAACCTCAATCTGAAGAAGATTCCAAAGAAACTCTCAAGACAAGTGAGGTGTGTCTTAATTAATAAAACCCATTTTAAATGATCTTTTGTTAGATACAGGCCATTCAGTCCTTTGGAGTAAAACTTAGAAATTCAATTTTATCTTTTCCAAGTTAAATTAAAAATCCCTCATTTTCAGCATCTTGAACCCACATCCTATTATGGCCCAAATTCCTCATTTTGACCAGTTGATTCATGTAATCTTTTATCCAGGTAACAGCTACTTTTTTCTACTTTCCTTTCCCTCACCCCCCAACTCCCCACCCCTGTTTCTTATATTGGCAATAACAAAATTGCTAGTAATGATAATAAGAAAGAAAGGGGAGGTGGTGCCTGGGTGGCTCAGTGAGTTAAACGTCTGCCTTTGGCTCAGGTCATGATCCCAGAGTCCCAGGATCAAGCCCCACATTGGGCTTCCTGCTCAGTGGGGTGTCTACTTCTCCCTCTACCCCTCCCCCTGCTCATGCTCCCTCTCTCTCACGCTCTCTCTTTCTCTCTCTCAAATAAATAAATAAAATCTTTAAAAAAAAAAAAAATAGAGGGCGCCTGGGTGGCTCAGTTGTTAAGTGTCTGCCTTCGGCTCGGGTCATGATCCCAGGGTCCTAGGATCGAGTCCCATGTCGGGCTCCCTGCTCAGCAGGAAGCCTGCTTCTCCCTCTCCCACTCCTCCTGTTTGTGTTCCCTCTCTCAGTGTCTCTCTGTCAGATAAATAAATAAAATATTTTTTTAAATAAATAAATAAAAAAGAAAGGGGAGGGGGGCTAAAATCCCTCTGCATAGCAGACCATCCATCTCATTCTCTTGCATTCCTCATCCACAAATGTACATAATTTCGTAGAGTGGATGTAATCTTGCAAAATGATTTTAACATTCCCTCTTACTCATGTTACCTTGTAAGCTTGTAATTACTATATTTAATGATTGTGCAGTGTTATATCGAATAGACATACCATCATTTAAGCATTTCCTTAGAGTTGAGCACTTAGATTACTTCCAAGATCTGATCAATTTAGATAGTAAAAATTATGTTCAATGAATGTTTGGATTATTTTCTTGGGATAAACTTTTACTTTCACTGGGTTTAAATCCTTATTTACTCTGCCATGTTTATAATTCTGAAGCCAAACTTTTTTTTTTTTTAGTGGGCTTCCACGCCAAACCTGGGGCTCAAAATTACAACCCTGAAACCAAGAGTCATATGCTCTCTACCAACTGAGCCAGCCAGGCGCCCCTATTCCCAAACTATATTAACATTTCCAAGGGAAAACTAATAATTTAGAGATTATTTATTCGTATCCAATAAGTAATCTTGATTTCTTTATTCACAAATTACAGATATATTTATGAGTAGATCCTGATGTTTTAATGGCATGTTTTAAAATATTTATTCACGTCAGTTGGTTGAAACTTATTGTAAAATTGAGTTGATAAAATCCTTGTTTTTTCTTTGATGAATTTTAAAGTATTTTTTAAGATTTCACTGCGCCCTACTCCCTGAGTTAGTAGAATTGCATTAATCTTTATGTTAAATGGTAAGAAGGTACAGTGATAAACTGACCCAGAGACACAGAGATCTTCTGAGAACTTCATTCCATTATTTGAATAAGAGTAATTACTGGTAGTAGTCAGTGAGACTGTACTAAAGTGTGTTTGATCAGCATTCATTCATTAATATTAATAATCTCCTCAGTGCCATATCGTGGGACAGGGAGGAAGGGCCAGATGCACTGGTCCATCACTGTCTTCCTTTGGTTACATAAACATACGCATGCTTTATATGTGATATGGTTACTGTTAGAGTGAGTTATTGTGTGCATTTGAAACTTCCAAGTAGAATGTCCTACAAGTAGCCTGGATTCATGAGGTTTCCATAAATAATTCAGACTCCTAAATTAAAACGTTAGGAAACCTTTATTTCAGTATAAAATTTTTAAATTGTCTTCATCATCACAGACTATGCTTTGGGACTAAAAAGAACATCACACTGTCATTTCGTGCAGCTTATATTTATTAATGGCATTAATGGCTACTGGGTATTAGTGAGCTTTAACAATTTGGAGTTAAAGGCCTCCCAAATGCATGGACAAGTCTCAGGAATAATAACTAGTCTGTGCACAGATGTCTGTGATGTAGTGGGAAGAGTACTCAATTGAGAATGAAATCCCCTCAGTTTATTGCGTGGGTATCAGGTTATGAAGGCACTCTGAGCTTCAGTTTCCTGGTGCATAAAATGAGGTCACCAGTACCTACCACAGGCTGCTGGCTGAGATTAAGTAACATGTGACACATGACAGCATTCAGCATATCCAATGTTCCCAAATGTTAAGTTTGAATATAAAAATCGATTTTAGTATTGCTCATATTTTAACTTTTATTTTCTTACAGCATTGTGAAAAGGAAAAGGTGTCTTCTTCAAAGGATCTGAAGCATGTTTATGTAAAAAGTGAACTAAGTAAACCTGCCCGGAGACTTTCAGAATCTTTGCATTCAGCTGACGAAAACAAAAATGAACCCAAAATAGAAAGAGAACATAAAAGACGCACATCTACCCCTGTTGTGGTGGAAGGGTCACAGGAAGAGCCTGATACAAGAGATGGGAAAAGGCAAGCGGAACGGTCAGAAATTGGCACAGAAGAGCCCCAGAAACAGAAAAGCACACTTAAAAATGAAAAGCATCTAAAAAAAGATGATTCTGAAATACCACATGTGAAAAGCCTACCTAAGAAAGAGGCAAAATCCTCCAAGGAGAAGCCTGAAAAAGAGAAGACTCTGTCAGAAGACAAATTGTCTACAAAACATAAATATAAAGGTGACTGTCTGCATAAAACAGGTGATGAGACTGAGCTTCACTCTTCGGAGAAAGGTTTAAAAGTGGATGAAAATATTCAAAAGCAAAGTCAGCAAACAAAACTTTCTTCAGATGATAAAACTGAACGAAAAAGTAAACATAAGAATGAAAGGAAATTATCAATTTTAGGCAAAGATGGAAAGCCAGTTTCTGAATATATTATAAAAACAGATGAGAATGTTCGTAAAGAAAACAATAAAAAAGAGAAGCACATACCAGCCGAGAAGACTAAGGCGGAGCACAAATCAAGAAGATCGAGTGATTCTAAAATTCAGAAAGATTCTCTGAGTTCCAGGCAACATGGAATCACATTACAGAGAAGAAGTGAAAGTTATTCAGAGGATAAGTGTGATACAGACTCAACTAATTTAGATAGTAATTCAAAACCAGAAGAGGTAGTTCACAAGGAGAAGCGAAGAACAAAGAGCCTACTAGAAGAGAAACTTACGTTAAAGTCTAAACCAAAAAGTCAAGGCAAACAGTTAAAAGTAGTTGAAATGGAATTACAAGAAAGTGTCACAAAACAGGCAGCCACTCCAAAATCAGATAAGGAGAAGAACACAGAAGAGATCGACCCAGATAGACAGCGAAAGTCTAAAGCTGAAGACAAACCTTTTGAGGAAGCTGGGGTTGAAGCTGTATTGGACAGTGCCGCTTCCTCAGCACATGGTACACAGAAGGATTCTAGTCACAGAGCCAAGTTACCATTAGCAAAGGAGAAATATAAGGCTGATAAGGAGTCAGGCTCCTCCAGACCTGAGAGGAAGTTATCAGATGGGCACAAAAGCAGAAGCTTAAAGCACGGTAGTAAGGAAGTGAAAAAGAAGGAAGAAAACAAATCAGATGACAAGGATGGTAGAGAAGTTGACGGTAATCATGAAAAGACCAGAGGGAGTAGTTCGGTTGTGGAAAAGAAATTAAGTAGAAGGTTGTGTGAAAACCGAAGAGGAAGCTTATCCCAAGAAATGACCAAAGGAGAAGAAAAATCAGCAGCAAACTCCTTGAGTACTCCCAATAGTTCCTCTGTTCAGAAACCAAAAAGGGGCAGTGATACCACATTAATGCCTGAACAAGAGCCAATGGAAATTGATTCTGAGCCAGCTGTTGAAAATGCATTTGAAGTATCTAAAACCCAAGACAGCAGCAATAGTAGTTCTCAGCAAGATATTGACTCTGAAAATGTTATGAAACAAAAAACCACTATCATGGTTCTAAAGGATGAATTAAGAACTTCCACAGTAGATTCAAAAACAGCAGCTCCAGCCTGTAAATCAGGACGTGGAACCGGAGTTGTTAGTAATTCTGAAAAGCACGCTAACCATAAAGGCACCCTGACCAGGAAAGTGCATTTCCAAAGTGCTGTGTCCAAACTGAACCCTGGGGAGAAAGAACCCATTCAACAGGGAGCTCATGAAACCAATACAGACTCTGAAACTAGTCCTAGACTATTGTCTCGAGCCCCATCAGAAAATGATAGGGCACAAAAGAATTTGAAAAACACAACCCGACCCACTGAAGAACATGTAGCTCAAGGAGATGCTGGTCATGAACATTCCCTCAATTCAGATCTCTCACCGTCCTTAAGTTCAGTAACTGTGATGCCTCAGAAACAATCTCGTGGTACTGATGTAAGTCCTTTGATTGACACAAGGACTACTTTAGAAGGTAGCACAGCCAGCACCTCCCTTGTGGAGCACTCTGATATTCCTAACCAAAGTTGGACTGTTAGGGAATCAGAAGTCCCTGGGACAAGAGACAGCAAAGAAGGTGGGGCAGTTTCCACAGTAGATGCACTGGCAAAAGCAAGCATGGATGGCAGAAGACACATTCCAGAAGGTTTCCAGCCTGCTGTGCTGCACACTAAACAAGGAAAAGTAAATGTGCCTGTTGGTAGCAAGTTAATAGACGTGAATACGGAAAATGGGAATGCTCACAAAGAAGGCGGCTTGATGGACATGGCCAGGAAGGAAAGTGACTTCAACACAGGGCCCAGTTCAAAGCAGACAGCGAGAGGTGTCCTAGAAAATGGCAAAAAACATGGCATCACTGTTGACCCTGTGGTAGGCATGAGTACAGAAAAAGGTGCTGAGACTGTGGAACCTAAATGTAGTAGTGGCCCAGGTGAAATGGAAAACACATCAGTTGTGGTTGAAGGAAGGACTGAAAATAGTGAAGTAGACACCAGCGCTGGAAGTAACACTGCTTCTTCAGTTTTACAGCAAAGGAACAGAAAAACTGCCAATGGGACAGCGGGGTCTGGCAGAGCCGAAAAGACTTCTTTTGCCACTAGCACTGCAGGGAAGGATGAAGGTGTTCCCCCAAACGCAGTAAAGGCAGGGCATGCCACGACCACTTCCTCAGAAACAGGAGAGGGTGAGGTGGCTGTGCCCTGCACGAGCATTGAGGCCGACGAAGGCTTCATAACAGGAGCATGCTCTAGAAACAATCCTCTTCACACTGGGGCAGAAGCCAGCGAATGCACTGTTTTTGCGGCAGCTGAAGAAGGTGGAGGCGTTGTCACAGAAGGATTTGCCGAAAGTGAACCCTTCCTCACAAGCACCAAGGAGGGGGAGAGTGGAGAGTGTGCTATGGCTGAATCTGAAGAAAGGGCAGTGGACCCTGTGACTGCTCACGAAGGTACAGTTGAAGACAGTGTCAACAGCGGTGTGACAGAAGAGAAGGATGATGCCGTCACCAGTGCTGGCTCTGAAGAAAAATGTGACGGTTCTTCACGTCGAGGCTCAGAAATGGCTGAAGGAACTGTTACCTTTATTAGTGAGGTTGAAAGCGATGGCGCGGTGACAAGTGCTGGGACAGAAATAAGGGGGGGTTCCTTAAGCAGTGAAGAGGTGGATGGGTTCCGGAGAAATACGGCGAGAATGGGCCCCAAAAAAGAAACTGAGGGGACTGTGACATGCACCGGGGCAGAAAGGAGAAGCGCTACCTCTGTCATGTGCTCAGTGACAGGTGCCGAGCGACAGGAGGAGCGCGTGGTTGCAGGGGCAGCCGTGGCCCTTGTCGGTAACGACCCGCCACCTGGAACCGGTGCCCCCCAGGAAGGAGACGCTTCTGTGAATGACGGGGCGGAAGGCGAAAGTGCCGTCACCAGCACAGGGATAACAGAAGACGACGGAGAGGGGCCGGCGAGCTGCACAGGCTCAGAAGAGGGCAGCGAGGGCTTTGCTCTAAGTTCTGAATCAGAAGACAGTGCAGAGGGTGCAATGGATAGCACGGTCGCCAAAGAAGCCCCTAACGTGCCATCAGTCGCTGCTGGGCCATGTGATGACGAAGGAATTGTAACGAGCACCGGTGCAAAAGAGGAGGATGAGGAAGGTGAAGGGGTGGTGACCAGTACTGGAAGGGGAAATGAAATCGGGCACGCATCCACTTGCACTGGGACAGAGGAGGAGAATGAAGGGGTATCGATTTGTGGAAGTGCCGAGGAAGGCGACAGTCAGATTGGCACTGCGGCAGGGCACGCGGGAGCTGAGGCCGGAGCCACCATCACCAATGCCAACGAGAGCAACGTTGACAGCATGAGTGGTGCAGACAAGGGCATGAAACATACGGAGATCTGCTCCAGTGCGAAAGGGGTCGTCGAAAGCAGCGTGACCAGTGCGGCTTCAGGGAAGGGTGAAGTAGTTCCAGTTCCCGAAGGTTGCGAGGGTCCCATGACTAGTGCGGCTTCAGGTCAGAGTGACAGTTTGCCAACGAGAAAAGAAAAAGTTGATGATACCACAATTTCCACTGGCTTGGTGGGGGGCAGTTACGAGGTACTTGCGTCCAGGGCAGTCCCAGAATGTGAAGCTGGTCACACGTCGCCCGGTGGAAAAGAAGATGAAAGTGTCATCACCTCAGTGGACAATGAAGAATGCGATGGCCTTTTGGCCAGGACAGCCAGTGACAGGGTTACCAACCACGCTTGTTTAGCTGGGGTTAAGAGTCCAGGCAAGGGCTTGATGATTTCCACCAGTAGCACGCATGACTACACCGCTCAGTTGAGCACAGTTGCAGATGTGGCCGAAGGTCATTCCAGCATGCTGAGAGCCGGAGAAAATATGGAAGGCACCAGAATAAACATGGAGGAATTTGAGGCCCCCATGCCCAGTGCAGTGTCAGGAGGTGGGAGCCCAGGCCCTGCTGTGAGAAGTGAAGAGAAAGACGAGTGTGCCATGATTTCCACGAGCCTAGGGGAAGAGTTCGAAGTGCCCATTTCCAGCGCCACGACTGTCACGTGTGCGGAAAGTCAGCAGCCAATGGCCACCGTGGAAGACGGCGCTCAGGGCCCAGGCTTGCTGGGCACCGACGACTTCGAGGGCCCCACGCCCAGCGCACCCACAGCACTGGAGAGCCCGCTCGCCTCAACCAGCAAGGAGGACAAAGACGAGTGCGCGCTCATCTCCACCAGCATAGCAGAGGAGTGCGAGGCTTCTGTTGGCGGCGCCCATGCCGGAAGTGAGAAGGCGCGACCCGCCACTGTCCTGGAAGAAAAAGACGGGAGCGCCATCATCTCCACCAGCTCGGGAGAAGACTGCGAGGGCCCCGTGTCTAGCGCCGCCCCTCGGGAGGACGGCCAGCCCTCAGTCACGCGAGCGGAGGAGATCAGCGACACCGCCATGATTTCCACCAGCACCTCCGAAGGCCGCGAGGCAGTCATGATGGGTGCAGTCCCACAGGACGACGAGCCGCCTGGCACGGAAAGGATGGAGGACTTGGGCGACGCAGCCATCATTTCCACCAGCACGGCCGAGTGCGTGCCGGCGCTCGCCGGCCTCAGCAAGCAGGAGGAGAACCCCCAGACTGCAAGCAACACGGAGGGCAAAGAGCCCCCGTCGGCCGCCAGGATGAGCGAGGGCGACGACCCGAGGCCCAGCCTGTTGGCCGCCAACAGCTGTCCGCGCCCTGGGCCGCCGGCAGGGGGCAGAGCAGCGGGCGCCGAGGAGGGGCGCCACAGGGCGGCAGTCAGTGCGTCCTCTGCGGCGGGCGCTCAGCCACGTGCTGCGCGAGCTCCGGAGGAGGAGCACGGCCAGGACGGCCCCCGCGAGGTGCCGCTGGCGGGGAAGGGACCGAGGGAGAGCAGTTTGCGCCTCGTAAATGCAGCAGAGAGGAGTGCGTGGCTGAGCTCTGCTCAGATTGGACAGGGGAGTCGGGAGGCAGCTACCACAGGGCACAGCACCTGTCGGGCGGGGAGGGGTGTGCGGAGGGGAGCGGACTCACCTGAGGATCTGACGGGACCAGAGCAAACGGCGGGCCCGACGGCTGAGGACTCCTCCCTCGGGATCCGCTGCTTGCCGGCAGTAAGTCCCGGTGCTGAGAAAGCCGAAGACGCGCCACCTGCCAGAGACGCTGCAGCAGAGCCGTCCTACCCTGAGCAGTCCTGGCCCGCGGGCCCCGTGAACACCACCACCACTGAATGTGTTAATGGCCAGGAGTCAGAAATTGGCCCTTCCCACGTGCCAGTCCCTCCAGCTGCCTACGGTGTAGCCCTGTCTGCTCCAAACTGTGAGCAGGACTTGACTAGAAAGAGTGATCACAATGGCAGACGTCTGGTTCAAGGGTCCAGTGAGAAAGCAGGAGATGGTAATGGCATGAGGAAGCCATCCCAGGAGGAAGGGGACCTCAAGGTCACTGTTCCTCCTGAAGAAAATTTGCATGACATAGGTGAGAATCTAATTGCACATTGTAGCGTTTTACAAAGATGATTGCATGTAGAGTACATTTAAGACAGTCTTCCGAGAGGATTTTGGTTCCAGAATGTCATAAAATAACTTCTCAAATGGGAAGGTTGAACTTAGAAGCTTGGGTTTAAAAACTGAAAACCTTAGACCCATTTCTCGTATGCTAGGAGAGCAGAGGCAGGAGGCTGGCAGACAGGAAGTCAGCCAGCCATGTGCAAGTTGCTAAACCTTTGACCCTCGGGTTTCTCGTTAGTAGAAATGAACACTACCTTACAACACACCTGTGAAAGGAGTATTTTTTTTATCACCCTCATTTTACAAATGAGGAAATGGGTTCTGAGTGTTTAAATAACTTGGATAGTACTTGGGGCCCGTTAGAAAAAAATTACCTTTGAGCTTTAGTTTTCTGTTGTATAAAATGGGGATAATCATGCAACAACAAACACGCCCTCATCTGATGTGCTATGGACTTGTGATATGTGTCAGTTCAGTCTGGCTAGCTACTTACGATCAGGGGAGCACTTTTTTTTTTTTTTTTATTCTTATGTTAATCCCCATACATTACATCATTAGTTCTAGATGAAGTGTTCCATGATTCATTGTTTGTGCATAACACCCAGTGCTCCATGCAGAACGTGCCCTCCTCAATACCCACCACCAGGCCAACCCATCCTCCCCCCCCCCCTCCCCTCTAGAACCCCCAGCCTGTTTTTCAGAGTCCATCATCTCTCATGGTTCGTCCACCCCTCCGATTTCCCCCGCTTCATTCTTCCCCTCCCGCTACCTTCTTCTTCTTCTTTTTTTTTTTCTTAACATATATTGCATTATTTGTTTCAGAGGTACAGATCTGAGATTCAACAGTCTTGCACAATTCACAGCGCTTACCAGAGCACATACCCTCCCCAGTGTCTATCACCCAGTCACCCCATCCCTCCCACCCCACCCCCCACTCCAACAACACTCAGTTTGTTTCCTGCGATTAAGAATTCCTCATATCAGTGAGATCATATGATACATGTCTTTCTCTGTTTGACTTATTAGACTCAACATAATACCCTCCAGTTCCATCCACGTCGTTGCAAATGGCAAGATCTCATTCCTTTTGATGGCTGCATAATATTCCATTGTATATATATATACCACATCTTCTTTATCCAGTCATCTGTCGATGGACATCTTGGCTCTTTCCACAGTTTGGCTATTGTGGACATTGCTACTATAAACATCGGGGTGCACGTACCCCTTCGAATCCCTACTTTTGTATCTTTGGGGTAAATACCCAGTAGGGGAGCACTTTTTTTTTAACTGAGTTTTTTGTTCAGGTGAAATGAGTTTCTGGTTTGGCATTTGTTTGAAAGAGAAAAGAAACATGTTCCCTCCTGACAGATTTCAGAGTGTTGATCTTGCTAGAAATACTTGATAACTTTCAAAGGGGTAAGCTTTGGACTCAGTCATTCACTGTGCCATCCAACCTGAGACACTCTGTGTCAGCTTCTTCTGTGCTAGGCCCTGGGAATGCAAAGATAACTCTTCAAAATGGGGAGCAGCTGTAAATCCAGCCTTGTGTTTTAAGTAGGCAGTGACACTCTAGTGGCAGGTGCTTAGATGCTGTGAGAACTCAGAGGGACGTCATGGGCTAGACCTGAAGGGGTCGGGGACGTTGACTTTTCTACTCTGGCTGTAAAAATTCTAGTGTCCTGGACTTTTAAACTGGAACAGACCTTGGATGTCATCACATACAGCCTCAGGAAGCTGAGGCCAGTAGATTGAGTCCTGTTCATTAAAGGGACTTAAGAAAGGGGTCGTTAGGAAGTGTTCCAAGGGTTGAAATAAGGAACTTGACAATTTTCCATTGAATTTAGCCTGGGTAAATTGCATGCTCTGCGGATTTTTATGACTTAACCATTGCTACAGTCTGTTACTCCTTCCTCCTCACCTTTGTTTCCCTGAAGGAGCAGAAACAGAAGAGGTTTTAGCAAGGAAAAGCCTGCAGCCTCTTAGAGAAAGGAAGGATTTTCTTTGGAGGCTTCTGTGTAGGCGGGTAAAAGAACTAGAAGCCACAGTCACAGAGGGACAAGGAAGAGAGAAAGAAAGGACTGCAACAGGGATGGGATTGAGTCTCCACCAGAGAAAATGCCATTTTCCTTTGTCTGCCTCACAGCTTCCTAACATGATTTTAGACTTTGCTGTGTCAGGGTGAAGCAAGCAAAGTGAGTTTGTTCATAAACATTTTCTTTGTTGGGAACATATCTCAGTGGCCCAGAATATTTTCTTTTCCTTTTTTTTTTTTTTTATAGTATTTTATTTATTTATTTATTTGACAGAAAGAGAGAACGCAAGAGAGGGGACACAAACAGGGGGAGTGGGAGAGGGAGAAGCAGGCTTCCCACTGAGCAGGGAGCCCGATGCGGGGCTCGATCCCAGGACCCTGAGATCATGACCTGAGCCGAAGGCAGACGCTTAATGACTGAGCCACCCAGGCGCCCCCAGAACATTTTCTTTTAGGGCCAAACTTGATACAGAACACTGTAGAAAAATATTTGGAAATGTGATGTCTCCAGAAATAATCTTTTGTTATTCTTTCTGGGCAGCCGTCTTAACAGCAAGGAACAATTTCACTCCCCAAAAATGAGTAAATGACCCCTGCTTTTCATCCAAGATTTTTCATCCATATTCCTTTTATTGTTTTCTACTGACAGCAAAATAAAACATTAGAGGAAGGGGTTATGGCATGCTAGATAATAACATTCTGTTACCTTTTGATTTGGCATGTGTTTTGTAAGCAAATTCTTGAATTGGTTTAATGCTCTGAATTTCATTAGGCAGTGAAGAGTCTCCATCGAATGTTCTGGGAGGACGGGCACTGAAAGGCACCTTGAAAACTGAGGTATGGCTGATAGTTCAGTTACGCTGAGCTGTAGATGGTGTGAGTACCATTTCACCACATGCAGGTGTATGTGTCCTTCAGCATCAGTACCTGTTCCCAGTGTACTTGAGACACTTAGACATTGTTACTGTCATACCCCGAGGCAGGAAAGCTAAGAACCTCAATGATCTCAGTAAATAGTGCCATCATAGTTCCATTTACTCAAACCAGACACCAGGAGTCACCCTCAGTCTCTTGCTGTCACCCCACGTTTAATCCATTGTCCGTTCTTATATGATCCATTTCCAAAGTAGAACTTGAATCTCCACGCCCCCTTTGCAGCCTGCTCTCATGGCACCCTCTGAGTATAAGAGAGACAAGGTAGCAGTAAACATGGGGACTATGTACAGTACATTGGAGACTCAACTTACCAGCAGGAGCAATGGGTACACAGACGGGAGGGCTTGCAAGAAGATACTGGAGTGGGGTTTTACAAGTAGCGTAGAAGTTTACCAGAGGAAAAAGAAACAAAAGAGTCTTGCAGGCAAAGACACATGTTCTGGACACGGAGCAGGAGGGTCAGTTGTGACCATGGGCACTGCAGTGATGCAGGGTGTGCTATGGACAAATGCAGACCTGACAAGGGAGGGGCATGATCAGTGAGGGCCATGTGTGTCACACTAATTTGCAGTTTTACTTTTAAAGCAACGGGAGAAACATTGATGGATGAAATATGAGATTGATTTTGTTCGTTTGTTGTTTTTAAAAGTGGGCATGTATTCATTTCAATTTTACACAGACTTGAAAGTAGTCTTTTATGTTGTTACAAGATGCTAGATGTTTTAATTAAGTTGAGGTTAGTCGTGTCTTCTTGTAAAACCTCAGTTAACTTAGTTTTTTATGGTGCTTCGGACTTTTTAGATATTTGTACCATCAGAGGAAGAGAAAAACCGTGAAATTCTAGCAGCACCAGCAAGTCCATGTGGGAGAAAGCCAAGTGGAGTAGGTAAGCTGCTTTCAGCGGTGGTTCACATTATTGTTTTCCTGGCCTGTGGTTTTACCTTTTGTTACAGCTTAAAATCAATAGCTGAGGGGCGCCTGGGTGGCACAGTCTGTTAAGCGTCTGCCTTCAGCTCAAGTCGTGATCCCAGGGTTCTGGGATCGAGTCCCGCATCGGGCTCCCTGCGCAGCGGGGAGTCTGCTTTTCCTTCTCCCTCTGCCCCTCTCCCTGACTCATGTTCTCTCTCACTTGCTCTGCTCTCTCTCTCTCTCAAATAAATAAATCTTAAAAAAAATAAAATCAATATAATAGCTGATTCATAATAAAACACTGACAGGCTTTGTGAATTTGCATCTCACCTTTTAAAAGAGGTTGGAGAGGATTCTTTACTATTTCATTTTTAGCATATACTTTTTCTCATCAGTTGTCAGTTTTATGTAAGGCAATTGTTTAAATCTCTTATCTCCAAATAAATATGGCAGAAAGCAAGTTGCTTTGGAGCAAACTCTTGCTCTTTCCCCAAAACGTGTCTCCATGTGCCTTCCTGCCCTTCCAGGTGCTCTTGCACCTCCTTTCCAAAAGCTAGCCTGCAGCCCATGCGCCCACCCAAACCTCTGCCTGTTGGCCCTTGCACTCTGACTGGGCCCTGGTGAGTACTGATGCTGCTTCCGGCTCATACAGGCTCTTCCCAGTCTCTGTGTGCTGTCTTCGGGGTATACTTCATGTTCTGTAGGAGAGAGCCTCAGCGTCAGGAAGGTTTAAGGCCGCAGCTCCCAAACTCAGGACCACTTTACACTTTTTAAAAATTATCGAGGATCCCAGAGAACTTTTGTTATGTGGATTATACCTGTTGACATTTACCAAATAAGAAACTAAAACTGAGAAGGTTATATGTATTCATTCAATGTAATTAACTCACTATAGGTTAACATAAATAACAGTTTTTTCTTGAAAAATAGCAAATTTTCCCAAATGACAAAATGTAGGAAGAAAAGTGACATGGTTTTGCATTTTTGCAAATCTCTTTAAGTCTAGCATAATAGAAAGCAGCTGGTTACTTGTGGCTGTTTCTGTATTCAATATGTTGCTGTTGTTATCTTGGTTGAAGTATATGAAGAAAATTAAGCATCACACTTAACATGGTTGGATTTTTTTTTTATGTTATTTTATTATGTTAATCACCATACATTACATCATTAGTTTTTGATGTAGTGTAACATGGTTGGATTTTAATAGCCTTTTCAGATAATTCTGGGAACTTCACATGGCCTCTGGAAAATAGCATGTGTACTCATGAATTTAAAAGGTGAATAACACCTTAGTATTTTAACAATAGCTTGGACCTTGTGGAGCTCTTGATGGAAGATTTCAGGAGCCACAGGGGTCTTTGGACCACACTTTGAGAACCACTGGGTTAGGGAACTAGAAATGAAAATTGTGACAATGGATAATTATTTCTGGTTTATATTCTAGTCAGTATTGTGTCATCTCTTCTGATCTGCACATTAAGTAGGGGAAAAAGTAATAGGAACTCTAGAGCATATGACCAAATTTATGCCATTTCTTTTTCTTTTTTTTTTGTCCAGTGTTGAAATGTCCACGCCAGCTGCATAGAGCAGTTAGGGTGATTTTAGTTGCAAGTCAAAAAAACCCTACAGATGTTTATAGGAAATGTATTAGCTCACTGTCTTAGGCAGTTTAGGCTGTTTAGAACAGAATTCCATAGAACGAGTGCTTAAGCACCAAATATTTATTTCCCTTGGTTCTGGAGGCTGGAGGTCCAAGTTCAGGGCGCCAGCATGGTCCAGTTCTTGGTAAGGGCTCTCTTTTTGGTTATGTTCTTGCATGTATGCATGCAGAGAAAGAGATCTCTCTCTTCTTATTTCCGTAAGGACACATCCCAGCAGTGTTCCACCCTCATGATATTTAAACGTCCCAAAGGCCCCACCTCCAAATACTATAACACTGGGGACTTAGGGTTTTGATATATGAATTTTGGGGGGACTCAAACATCCAGTCCATAATAGTATTCACAAGACTGCAAAGTTCAGGCAGAGCATGATCCAAGAGCATGGTGATGTCCCCAAAGACCCATCTTGCAAAGACCCAATTTCTTCCCTTTCCCTCAGCCCCCAACAGAGGTAATTGCTTTCTCATTTGTAAACCTCTAGAGAAATATCTTTGTCCTCTCATTCCTGGCCAAAATCCCAAGACTTACTCTGATTCAGCTTAGGTACCTTTGTCCACCCTAAACTAATTACTGTGGCCAGATGAATGTACTTGCTGGTTGATTTAAAGTAAATCAGGAGCTCTGTTCCTGGGGTGAGAGTAGAGTTGGTGTCCCTGGAAGCACATTGTGCCCCAGACCACAACTAAGCTCTTGGGGAAGGTGCTAGGAGAGCAACTATATGTTTACTATGTGATGGCCTTGGCTCTTTAAATTATTCCCCCGGACAAACATTGGTAAGCGAGGTACTTGTGAGTACTAGGGAAATCGAGGTAGAGAATGCAGTCCTTATCTGCACTCATGCAGTTTACAGAAGTAATATGCCAGTGAGGAAGGTGCTCTCTGTAATAAAGATACATTCATGTCTGGTGGAGTCAGCTTTGCTGGGGAGGGCTTTGGGGGAGGGCCTGGGTTTAAGCTGAACCAATCTCTCTGTCCCCTTTAATTATAGAAAGTAAGACACAAAGAAGTGCATAATCGTTTTCCCACTCCTCATGATACCCACCTTAAGTACAATTCTATAGTTAAACAAAAATGAAACCATAGTATCTATAGTATTTTTTAATTTCTTTGTTTTACTCGGTGTTAGTTTATACAGATTGACTTCATTTGTTTTAACAGCTGAAAGTAGTCTGTAACGCATTTTCCCATTTGTTAGATCTTTAGTGGTCTCCAGTTTTTATAGTATTTGTTATTATAAATAAAACTGCAATGAACTTTCATATGCGTGTAGTTATGTGTTTCCCCAAGTATTTCCATAAAAGAGAATTGAAGGGTCAAAGAATATGTAAGTTTTGCATTTTCATAACACTTGTCACTCCCCCTAGGTTGGAGCCAAATATTGAAGGATGAGTAGGTGTGCATTATGTGGACAAGGAAAAATGAAGGGCAGTGTGTAAGGAGTAATGTGTGTAAATCCTCACCCAGGACTGTCTGGGGTGGTCAGGGCAGGGACCTTCCAAGGCAAAACCATCTGAAGGGGTAGTTACCTTCAAAGTATGTGATCTCAAGAGCCTTATAAACAGAAGTATCAAGCAGTCCTTGCAAGATCACCCCAAGGCCTGAGAAGCCATTCATGCTGACGTGTTAAAACCTTAACAATGACTAATTTGTCCAAAACCTAAATGTATCAGTTAAAACCTGTATATCCGTGTTAAAGTACAAATAATTGGGTGCCCGGGTGGCTCAGTTGGTTAAGCGTGTGCCTTCAGCTCAGGTCATGACCCCAGGGTCCTGGGAGCGAGCCCTTGCTCAGTGGGGAGTCTGCCTCTCCCTCTGCCCCTCCCCCTGCTCATGTTCTCGCTCTTGCTCTTCTCTCTCTCAAATAAATAAATAAAATCCTTTTTTTAAAAAGGTGCAAATAATTAACATCCCATTTGTTATTGTCAAGAAGGTAACATTTTTGGATCCTGAAGTCCTTTGTTCCCACAGTATATTCCAGATGATTTCACTGTGTTTAGGTACGATTCAGTAAGAGATCTACTTACGTAAAAGGAAGTTGTTTAAAAGAAAAATGTGTGTTCTGTCATTGTTGAGTGGAAACAGTAGACCTTGTACTTCAAGTTTCCAGAGAATATAAATAGACCATTGCTGTTTGAAGGAATAGAATCTAACTTTTCACTTGATGGCATTATTTTTAAATGAACCAGTGTCACTTTGTAGCTGAACAGTTACAGCAAAGGTCTACCTTTCTCCTAAGCCTCAGATCACCAACAGAGTTAAATAGGTGCAGGGATTTAATGGACCACTGCCATTATTATAAAAATGCACGCAGCATTAATTTCTGTTGTTTTTCTGGCATAATGGCAGGCACAGATTGTAGAAAATAATTGGTCAGAATTTTAGAGTTCACAAGGCAGTTAGGCCAGTTAGCGACATAGTCCTACTTTACCTTAAAAAATTCTAAATTTGTTTCTCTGTGGTTCAGAAACAATATTCAGTTTCCTTATTTCTCATTTTTGTTTTTGAACAGCCGAACTACAGAGGGACCCTTTCTTGGTGAATGAATCATTTAATAATGTAAGTCACCATAATGTTTTGGGTTTAGTTGTGGGGCTTGGTGTTTTGAGAGCGAATGGGAAGGGGGCATCTAGCAAAGGGATTGTCTGTGCATTCTTTAGGAGACAGGAGGATATTTGTGGTGTGCTCTCCACTCAACTGCAACATACCAGCTGAGATATTCAGGCCAACATTCAACTGAAATTTAGTTGATTTCCCCAGAAAAAAAAAAGGGGGGGTCACTCTGAATTCAGCAGCACTGCATTCTAGTGGCTCCTTAGGGCAGTGTCTTGAAACACTTAAGGAAACAGAAAGCCCAGATACCTCAGACTAGGAAACTCACCTGGGAATTACTAATGAAATCCTTCAAAGAACTGTGAACTTTCTATTTTTTATTATTGTAACAAGTTTGATAATTGGATTACAAAATCTGAAATTATCCTGGTGCTATAGATAAAACATTTTATTTTAAGAACTAAAGTTCATTTTGTGTTTCTGGAAAGCTTTTGTGAAGATACTAAACTGTAATTGACACGTATACATATTCTTTCCCAGCTGTGGCTGTCATAATCTCTTTTGTGCTTGAAAGAAATTGTATGTCTTTCTTAATGCACAGGGGACCTGATACCTTACCAGGAGAGAACATTTTGTAAAATGGCTGCAAATTGCGAAGAGACACATTATTTCCAGTGTCTCGAGAGAACTCGGGGGAGCTCTGCGCGTTGCCAGACATCAGAGGGCTATCCTCACCCCTTTGAAACATCCTGTTTTATAGTTAGAAACTCATACACAGTCAGCCAAGTAAGAGGAAAAAGAAAAGCCCACTTGGTTTGGTTTAGATTTACTCTCCAAAAGGATTCCTTATGTAGAGCTAGTGCTGCTCCTCACCTCACTTCCCTGAGGCCCCTGGCAGCTGCCTTTCCCTAGTCTAAGAGTATCACTGCCTTTCCAAGTGTGCATGAAATTCTGTAGCTAGGATTGAGAATGTTGTAGGATAGTCTAAGACTTCCCCTCAGTTAAAAAAATAAAAGTATAGTTGACGAGATTTGCCAAAGAGAGATGATGACAGAATGACAGAATCCTTTAGCATTTTTAAGTAAAGAAAAAGAATCATGAGGGATCATTGGATGGGAAGAGAATTCATAGAATTCAGAATTTTTTTTTTTTTTTTTTTTTACTTCTTACACTTTTGCCATAACCATTTTAAAGACAAGGTGAATAAAACATAGTAGGATGATAATTTGTTAAACCGAAACTTCTTCAAAACGAAGATGCTCTGTGCTCTTCAGCTTCTGGGTGAAATGTAAAAGAGCACATATTCCAGGGGCGCCTGGGTGGCTCAGTCGGTTGGGTGTCTGCCTTCGGCTCAGGTCATGATCTCAGGGTCCTGGGA